TTCTTTCCACCATCCTTTTCACCTTATATTTCTCCGCCAGGGCAACTCTATCATCGTCCCCCAACGGGTCAGGTGTTAGAGCAAGGGCTTTCTTTTGGGCTATCTTTGTTATGTTTTTGCAGATGGCTTCAGTTGCAAGGACAATGAAGTTCAAAATGTGGAACATAGGGGAATCTGATGAAATGAAAGAGGTAAAGTCTGAAATGTGTTGATTTTTTGCAATAAGGTATGTGAAATGCGCAAGTGCAAAGGTCTAAGGCTTGTCTATCTTCCAAGGGTCATAATCGAAGTTAAGATTTGCCAGTTTGAAAATTTGCCAAAGAGTGAAAGGATGGAGAAAGGAGAAAGGGTTAATACATCAAACTTTTCAAATCTATGGGCTTTGGCAACTTTTCGCCTTCGCAATAATTCAAAATCTCTATCAGCAGTCTAGATTGCTCCACGTGGACAGTTGGGATTAATTCCCTCACCCACCATCTCTCATTTTTTACTCCCATATCACATCCACGTCGCGTTCTCAGGTTCATTCCTGGTCCTTGAGCCCCGCTCCCTGTCGAAACATTTAACCCTTTGCCCAACCCTCGATCGGTCAAAGTTGTCACTCAGTTGGACACCCTTGGTCGGTAATCTTACTGGTTGGCCACCTTGACGGCCAGTCACCTTCGATCGGTCATCTTGTTGGTCGGCCACCTTGACGGTAGGACGCCTTCGGTTGGTCCTTTTGCTAGCTAGCCACGTTGACGGTCGAACACCCTTGGTCAATCATCTTATCGGTCGGCAACCTTGCTGGTCGAATACCTTTGCTTGGTCGAACACGTTGACGATTGGCCACCCTCGGTGCTCGACCATCCTCACACGTTCGGTCAGCTGTCTCCAGCCCCTTGCTTCTTCATAAACCAAACAGGTTAGTCTGCCCCATCTTTTGCGACTTGGGGGACTACTTTCACTTTTATTATTCCCTTCACTAAACTAAAGTTGCGCTCGAGAATGAGGGACTACTGATGGGCATGGCCCATGAGGGCCCAACCCACGGTTGTCTTGGGTTACCCAAACAGTCACTTGGTTGAAACCCAACAGAACAGGCCCAACACCAAGCTTAATAAAGAACTCATAATAGTCAAGCCCAAGGACCAACTAGGCATGTGTCGAGTAAGGAATTAGCCACTTGGTAAAAAAAGATCTTGTAAAGTTATTGAGCCCATACACCAAGCATTAAATAAGGCTGCCATGGCATTAAATGCAACAAGACCTTTAGCTCTAGGGCAAGGTGAAACCACCATGACCGACGGCAAGTAGACTATAGACTTTCGGCCAATAAGACAACTTGAATGGACAAGAAAATGATTAGTAAGAGACATAAGGAAGCTTCTAAGGAATGCTTAGGGACAAGTAATTCACTCCCTCTCGCTTTCTACTCTCAACCTTCTTTCTAAACTACTATTCCGAACACATCCTCATCTAACTTGATCGTCGGAGGGTCCATAGAAAGAAACCACCCCCATTTCGGAACCTTCATACTAGATTTGTTGCAGGTGCGATTAGGAAGGCGAATGTGTAACAACCCAGATTTTTAATTATTCTGTAGAATTTATACTAATATTATTTAATCTCAGTTCAGAAAATATATAATTTATTATACATTATTATGCGTAATTTTGTAAAATAGTATAATTATTAAAAATTTAGGAGCCAAAATATAAATAAATAATTAAGTTAATTTGGATAAGCTTTGAATTAATAGAGAACTAATTAGAAGGTGGCACGTGGCGTCTTGGCTTGGGGCTCACGAATATAATCTGTATAAATAGGAGAAGTTGACTCCGTGAGAGAAGAAAAAAAGAAAAGAAGACCAGGAAAGAAAGAAAGAAAAAGAAAAGGAAGAGAAAGGAAGAGGAAAAGAAAGAGAGGAAAGAGAGGAAAAATTAGTGGAAGCTAAGAAGATCTTTGACAGTAGAAAGAAATAGTAAGGTATTAAAGTTAAGGTGAGTTATATTATACTTTGAGTTACCAAAATGTATTTTACTTATATTTTGACTTACCAAAATCTATTTTATACAAATTATGTTTTATTAGTATATTTATAAAAGTTATGTTTTATAAAGGTTTCAGTTATATGGATTATTTTATGAACCCTATTTGCTTAAAAGGAAACCCATGGATATGTTTGTTTTACTTTTAAAGAATATTTGGCTATGACCTTATATGAAAATATGTTTTGTGAGTACCACCACGGGAGTCCCACGCCTTGGGGGACTTAAATAACCATTGGCTAGTGTTTGACTACTTTGTGGTCCAGTGTTTGTCATGGATCTATTGACCAATGTAGTGCTTGTCACTTAGTGATGTACCGTGGTTATAGTGATTATTTCAGTTTCTGGCACTTAATTAATTTGTGTATTCAACTCAATTCAATTTATAATGTTTTAGCTTAAATAAATATCCATGGCCATTTTGTGCCCCTCGTAGTATAATATTTCTTACTCTGCTATATGCTTATAGCTGTTACCCCTTTCAGGTGATGAGGTTTTGCGGGATTAAGATGGAAAATGAATCGCTATGTTATTTTGTTTTTAAGATTTCTATCTTTTATTATTAAACTCTTGTAATACAGACCAGCGTGTGGGGTAGGCACAAAACACTTTTATTGATGTATTTTTTTGTTATGTAAATATCGGCCTTTTTGGTCAATACATTTTGTAATGACAATAAAAATTTCAATGATTATTTTAGTACCCTTATTTAAATATTTCTTCCGCTTGCGTTTATTAATTTGTTTAAAGATTTGGCCGGAGGTAACCTCGGTTACTGGCCATCACGATGCTTAATCCTTGGGTACGGGGAGCGGGTCGTAACAAAATGACAGTCAACCCGTGGAGCGCTTGGATCAGTCCAATCCATCTCCTTCTGACCAAACTGCATAATCAAATGTAATATTCACCGAAGTGTCTATTTATTGAAAGGTTTGAAAAATATTCGCAGTAGAAGAAGCAAGCTAGACACGAAAAATACAAAAAAGAACCTTAATGTAAGTATGTTTTAAATTTCAAGTCCTAATTTGCAAATAATATAAAGTTAATTTTGTTTTATAGTGTTTACACACACAATAAAACATCAAATATTAAACTTGTGGCTAGAATTGCTCAGGAAGGATTTCCTGAAACATTATTCGTGAACGAAGCATTGTTCAAGTTGCAAATTGTAATGCATTCATGTCCATTTAAAAATTTATAGTTACTATTTTTAGGGTAAATTACCAGCCAGTGCTAACAGTTAGATTTAATTCACATTAAGTTCTATCAATTCGTTATTGAAAGTTGGTTCTATCCAAATCGTCTCTAAAAAAGACTTTTTCTAACGATTGTCTGAACATGTTGCTAAAAACTTACGATTATTGATGTTTTTTTGTGAAGATTTTAATAAATTGTCAGTTTTGTATGAACCATTCATTTTCTCACCATTCATATTTTTTTTCATGTAAAACTGATCTCAATACGTGGTTTCCATTATATGATTAACTTAATTTTTTGCAAAGATGATGTACTCGGCGAATCCTAAGATATGAATGCACTGCTGGAAATTGAACTTTTAGTGGCGTTTAAAAAACGCCGCCATAGATATCAAAAACACTGCTAATTGTTTTTGTGACATTTAGTACCAAGCGCCGAAACGGTTACTGGCCATCACGATGCTTAATCCTTGGGTACGGGGAGCGGGTCGTGACAAAATGACAGTCAACCCGTGAAGCGCTTGGATCAGTCCAATCCATCTCCTTCTAACCAAACTGCATAATCAAATGTAATATTCACCGAAGTGTCTATTTATTGAAAGGTTTGAAAAATATTCGCAGTAGAAGAAGCAAGCTAGACATGAAAAATACAAAAAAGAACCTTAATGTAAGTATGTTTTAAATTTCAAGTCCTAATTTGCAAATAATATAAAGTTAATTTTGTTTTATAGTGTTTACACACACAATAAAACATCAAATATTAAACTTGTGGCTAGGATTGCTCAGGAAGGATTTCCTGAAACATTATTCGTGAACGAAGCATTGTTCAAGTTGCAAATTGTAATGCATTCATGTCCATTTAAAAATTTATAGTTACTATTTTTAGGGTAAATTACCAGCCAGTGCTAACAGTTAGATTTAATTCACATTAAGTTCTATCAATTCGTTATTGAAAGTTGATTCTATCCAAATCGTCTCTAAAAAAGACTTTTTCTAACGATTGTCTGAACATGTTGCTAAAAACTTACGATTATTGATGTTTTTTTGTGAAGATTTTAATAAATTGTCAGTTTTGTATGAACCATTCATTTTCTCACCATTCATATTTTTTTTCATGTAAAACTGATCTCAATACGTGGTTTCCATTATATGATTAACTTAATTTTTTGCAAAGATGATGTACTCGGCGAATCCTAAGATATGAATGCACTGCTGGAAATTGAACTTTTAGTGGCGTTTAAAAAACGCCGCCATAGATATCAAAAACACTGCTAATTGTTTTTGTGACATTTAGTACCAAGCGCCGAAAATACGGCCGTCGCTGTAACTTTATGACGCTTTAAAAGCGTTACTATATTGCTGCATAATGATACAATGACGTCGCTCCACATTTAGCGACGTTTTAAAAACACCGTGATAGATCTTTTCTATTTTAAAAATATCACCGTTGGTATTCTATAGTGACGTTTAAAAACACCGTTATAGCTTCATTTTTTTAAAAATAATAAAAATAAAAATAAAAAATTGTGCTAATTCTGTGAGATTTAACTTTAAAAAAAATACCTTTTATAAAGATGAAAAATATACAATATATTGACTAAATTTAGGTAAACATAATACTAGATCAATTCATGCTTCTCAATATGCAAAAATATTTCAATTCTAAGATGAAATAAAGTTAAACTAGTGCCTAGTGGTAAGTTAAAAATTATTACAAAACAAATCGGCACAAAATTCAAACTAATTATATATACATACCAATTATACAAACAAGTACTATGAAAGCATCCACTAAGAAACAAAAATTCTCAGGTTCCTATAAGGAAGATGATGGTCCTCTGTCCACATCTTAGCATTGTTGACACATCTTGTGCTGTCACCTGCCAAGCATTCACCAAAATATACATTTTTTCCCAATTGTTTCTCAAAATATCAATTTCTTTCTCAATTGTAAGCAATTTGTGATGCATTATGAAAGAGCATGAAATGAGGAGAGAATTGAAATTTTTTTTCCAAAAACTATTTCTGATGCAAATTTGAGAAACAAACTTTCAAGTGGAAATGCATCAAAAATAGGTTGACACTAAAATCCCTACCCACCCCCCCTGCAGGTGGGAAAAAAAGTGTAATTGTCTGGCAAATACAGTTTTAATATAAATAAAATTGAGCCTCTGAGACAGGAATACCTTTTTCTTTTTCATCATAATTTCGGTTGCAGCCTACAAAGAGTAGTAAAAAAAGCTGCTTAGATCCAACTAAGAGGAAAACTATGACTGCCAAAACTGAGCTTAAAATCTACACGCCTGTGTGCATAGGTATACACCAGTGAGATTTAGATCAATAACCTCCTTCCATTGAGCAGTCTTCATTCTCATCAATAAACCATCTCTAGTAATACCTGAAACCATTGTTGATCAGTTAGTGGACTATATCTGAAACTGTTAATGATGGAAGAGGAGGTGGAACATTCAAGAACCTGCATTGTTTATCAATATAGCAACTGTTCCCCATGCATCAACCACCTGTAGATGCGACAATTATGAAGCAAACTAAAAAATATCACCATATTAAACTAAATATATATTATAATATTAATTTTATTATCATCTTCTTTTATTCTTATTTGTTTAAATTGCATACCGCTAGTGAATCTAAATAGGATCAGTCAGTTTAATCAGCTTATGTAGTTTGAATTTCATGAAATGACAATGCAAGACTTTGTTAAAACAATAAGGCAACAAGCCAGATAAAATTCTATACATGCCTACATAGAGAAAAGATAACACCACTTAGACACACATGTTCAATGGGAAAGTTAGAATATTACCAAGTTTAGGTGATGAACATGTGTTAAAACCTTCAATTCATCAAGGAATGTAAGAAAATTTAATGTAGGAAATAACAGTGGAACTCTTTTATTGATTAAATACTTCTGTGACCCCTAAGACTCCAGAGTAACAAGTTAAATAGGTATACCAAGAAAAATTGGTATGGGCTATGCTCAAACATACTATGCATCCTTAGCATAGTTTTCCTATGGACAATGGCAGTAGAATGGTGGGAACCATAGACTACGTGAGGACGTGTATTCCTATTGGGGTTGAATATAATACCTTGATATCCCACATTCCTAAGTTGTATACATGAGCTTACATCCTTCTCTAGTACCTGTGAAACCAAGTCTCACACCACCTAGGTACTAAAATAATGTGCAGTATAACTTATCAAAATAAAATAAAATAATAATAATGTGCAGTATAAATAGGAAAGATATTAGCACTACCGTTGAGGAAAAAATAAATAGACAAAAAGAATGAATTGAAAAACATTACAAATGTTAGCAGTTAAGAGAATCTCCCTCATTTAGGATGGCATTTAGGTCAGCACCAGAAGCCATTGGTTAGACTATCTCTAATCCTGAAGTCTCCCAAACAAATTTGACAAAATTGAGGCAGGAGCCACTGCCCGGTCAGGGCTATTAACACCATCAATGAATCCTTCGTGATCAATTAATTTCTGAAGAATTGCCTATCAACATGTGTAAAATAATACACTAATCACCAACGTTTCATATATATTGTAAGTTGAAAGTCTTTGAAATTTTAATGTCTAGATGTTGCTAGGAAACTAGCTTTTGAAACATCATAAGATGATAAAACTGCAAACTAGCATGAAAATTTCCCAAAAAGCTATATAGATTTCTCATATAATATAGTCTTATGTTTACAGATTCATCAAGAATATAAGTGCCATACTTCTATAATGCAGCCAAAGATCATGACCATTTAACATGTGCGCACTTCATTCTAGAAACTTACTGGACAAGACCGATATGATTTCAACCCTTGCTATAGTTCATGGTATGAGATTAGGAGCTTCATCGGGCGAAATTCAACAGATTGATTGTGCACTCTGTTGTCCGTAAAAGAGATTAATTCACGTTCTAAAAGGTGCTCAAATGCCTGCAGAAGTCAGAGCAACAGATTACCAAAATATGCTTGGGATAGATTAGAAAGAAGCATCATCATGCAAAGTTCCATACGCACCCGTAAGCATACACTACTATTATTAAAGAAACTGCCATAGATGATTATGGTATGCTCTCTTCTTGGGGGAATGAAGAAGATAAGCAAGATTGTAGCAAATGAAGAGGAGTCCATTGCAATAACCACAGAGGTATTAGTCCCCCATTGCTTAAATTGCAGTATTTAAAGTATTTAGATTTTATCTCTCTTATTTCAAATTAAAGTTTTTAAGAGAAAAGTTCGAGCAAATTCAAAGAAAGCAATTGGGGGTGAGCAAGACAAAAGGGATTAAAAGGCAGAAGCTGTTTTAACCTGTTATCAGCTTTATGAAAGATGGAATACCTTTAATTCCATAACCCAAGCAAGAAGTTGAAAATTAAGCATTTAATTCCAGATTATAAAAGACGCCGTTGATCATACTGACACATCAATTTGAATACCTTTTTATATTTTTAATTTAAAATAAGACTAGATAGACTCCAATTTGTTTCCCTTCATTTACAATTCCAAATGAAGCCGTTTTAAAGGTTATAAATTGCACACTATTGACAATAGAAAATTAAGAGATTCATAATGACAATCAAGAAGCATAAAGCCACAATCAATCTTAGCACGTGTCCTTATAAAGCAACTTGCAGACTTTACTTCAAATAATCATGAGTCACAAAACTATGTGCCATTTTTATTGCCATAAAAATAAAATTATTGTTGGTTTTTGTACTTCATTGGTTTATTCATTCCTATGGAGAGTTGTTGTATTTCTTGTCTCCAACAATTGACTGAAAACAGAAAAGAAAATAACTAACCATGAGAAAACAGAAAAGGCAGATGTAAGCAATGCCCAACTTATGGTAAATGAATCAAGAGCCAAACAAGGAATCAAGAGAAAGAATTTAAAAAATATATCCAGATTTGCCAAAGAATCAAGATCTGTCAAGATGTTAACTTATGGTAAATGAATCTTATTCACATTAGCCAAACAAGGAATCAAGAGAAAGAATTTAAAAAAAAAAAACGTCTTTCTATGCCTTTATTGTTGCTACTTGTTCATAACAATATTATATCCCACTAGAGGCCTTGTGAAATGAGTTGTTGATGACATAGCTGTGGAAGTTGACCATGTCTAGACCAAAAATGTGAAACTAAAAGTACTTTTCTCCAAAAGAATATTCTCCATAATTTCAAAAGAACACCTACTATATGATTACAATAATAATGATGATAAATTCACCCACCCTAGATTGAACCATTGTAGAAATCTAGATGTGCAATAAAAATTGCGAAAGAAAACTGACACAGGAGTCATGCACAATATATCGATCTTGCCAAATAATATGGACATTACCTCCACTTCTCCTGAAGTATATTCTAGATCCAAATTTGAAAGGTGGACAAGTATTCCTTGCTCATGTGCACTCTTCAATCTTTTCCTCCCAAGGCTGAATAGCGACAGAAAGAAAAAAGAAAATGGAATAAATCACAACCACATGCTCACAATATAAAATAAACTAACAATGGAATAAATTGACTTTAATTCCTACAAGTTAGCGCAAGTACAGAAATTTTTTTGTAGATGCTGGAGCTAACAAAAAAATTGTGATAAACAAAAACCAAAAAAAAAAAAAAAAAAAATAAAAATAATGGGAAGCTTCTAGATAGGCCTACAATCTTAGAGGTTATGAACAATTATTAGAACAAGGAAAACAAGAAAATTGGTTGTGGGGAGTAGTTGATTCAAAGAAAAAGAAAAATTAAAGCTTGGTTGTATGGCTAAATTGTTTAAATTTTAGAATGACTTTTGTTACCATCAAATTAGGTTTCAACAATTACTAATTTGTACAATCATCAAAATAAAATTTTAAGGACTAAATAGATAAAATTAATAGTTAAGGGAAGCAATAGAAAAAATGATAATAGTTTAGGAAATAGAAGTGAATTAACTATTTTTCTTAATACATAAAAATGTAACTTTCTTGTTCATGCAGGACGAATAGACCAAATGATACAATACCAGCTCCACCAATATACCAAGAACAACAGAGTCCACCAATATACCAAGAACAACAATAGGGTCATGGAGAGATTGCAGACATGGTTTCTTCCTCAAAAGTTCTTTTACCTGTTTCATCAATATCAATAATCCTTATAGTCCTTTTCTTGAATTTGTTCTTCTAAAATACAATTCTCTGAGAAGAGAGAGGAGAAAAGAGAAGTTCAGATTTTCACCATTATTCACTTTCATTGTAATTTACATAGTTAGGCACCACACCATTCAATTTAACAGTGTAATTTGTTTCTCAAGTCCAGACTTTAACCTGATTTGCAATTCATGTATAATTTGACAACCCTCCAGAAAAAGAGGGCATGCTGAACAATTTCTTGTTGCTCTTTTTCAAATTCGACAAATGTCAAAATTAAAAATTAAAAAAATACAAATTATGGAATATAAATTGTTGTTACCATACTCCTTCCTTCACCAATGAGAATTGATGTCGGCCCACACACCACAATTTATCACATTCAGTAGCATCTCTCATTTCTTAGTCTTGCTGTTCTTCGGAGCTTGGGTTTTCTTTCTTACTTTCTTGGGCAGCTTTCCTCCTGCAGCTTTACCACTCCTTTTTCGCACGACCCCCTACATCCATGATCTCATAAATTAGCATTTCTTTATTACGACATGTTGCACAATCAATATACGATCTTGTCATTCAATGAGATACATAATGAACTGAGAAAGGTTAGGAAGCATACTATAGAAGTGAATTAACTATTTTTCTTAATACATAAAAATGTAACTTTCTTGTTCATGCAGGACGAATAGACCAAATGATACAATACCAGCTCCACCAATATACCAAGAACAACAACAGGGTCATGGAGAGATTGCAGACATGGTTTCTTCCTCAAAAGTTCTTTTACCCGTTTCATCAATATCAATAATCCTTATAGTCCTTTTCTTGAATTTGTTCTTCTAAAATACAATTCTCTGAGAAGAGAGAGGAGAAAAGAGAAGTTCAGATTTTCACCATTATTCACTTTCATTGTAATTTACATAGTCAGGCACCACACCATTCAATTTAACAGTGTAATTTGTTTCTCAAGTCCAGACTTTAACCTGATTTGCAATTCATGTATAATTTAACAACCCTTCAGAAAAAGAGGGCATGCTGAACAATTTCTTGTTGCTCTTTTTCAAATTCGACAAATGTCAAAATTAAAAATTAAAAAAATACAAATTATGGAATATAAATTGTTGTTACCATACTTCTTCCTTCACCAATGAGAATTGATGTCGGCCCACACACCACAATTTATCACATTCAATAGCATCTCTCATTTTCTTAGTCTTGTTGTTCATCGGAGCTTGGGTTTTCTTTCTTACTTTCTTGGGTGGCTTTCCTCCTGCAACTTTACCACTCCTTTTTCGCACGACCCCCTACATCCATGATCTCATAAATTAGCATTTCTTTATTACGACATGTTGCCCAATCAATATACGATCTTGTCATTCAATGAGATACATAATGAACTGAGAAAGGTTAGGAAGCATACTGACGTTTTTTCAGCTTTTGTTTTAGTTTTTGTGTTGGATTGCTCTCCATTGCCCTCATTTTGATCAGTCTGATTAGTGACGGTTTTAGGCATCTTGTCAGCGTCATCATCAGAATCAAATGAGAATCCATCCAGTGTTCCTGATAGTTCCTGATATATGATTGAATATAAAGAAGCACAAAAATTACGAAGTAAACAACATCAGATCCTGAGTCATATATAAATATCCTGAAAGAAAACCTCAAATAGAGCTTCTAACCTTCAACCATGGTTTCAGCCTCGTAAACATTAGATTGAGGTTTCAACTGAATAAAGTCATTCATGATAGCCTCTATCTGATCAGAAAAATTATAATTTCAAATCTAAGAGCATTGGCAGCAAACCAGAGCAAAACCGTTGAAAGAAAAAGATCTGAAAAGGGAAAATATTGGTAAAAGGAAAAAACATTTTTTAGTTGAAAGGAAAAAATTATCAAAGGTGAAAAATGAAGAGGAAACAAAGAATTGATTAACAAACCTTTGCTTCTGACTGACCAAAGCTAACCTGAGCGAGAAGAAATATGAATCACGATCTGAATCAAACTTCGATTTCGATTTCGAGATATGAATCACTAAGACCGATCTGCATCGCTGAGATCTGAATCACGATCTGAATCGAAATCGAAGTGATATGAACTCAGATCTAAATCGAAATCGAAGTAATATGAACTCAGATTTGAATCGCAATATGAAATCGAAGTGACATGAACTCAGAATTTTAAAATTTCGAGATATGAATTTTGATTTCGAGATCTGAATCGCTGAGATGAACTTCGAAATCGCTCTGATGAATCACTTCGATTTCGAGAGAGAACTTCGATTTCTGAGGATTCCATTGATAAAAAACTGAATCTCTGTGGTGATCAGGGTTTAGACAGCATAGAGAGAGAGAGAGAGAGAGAGAGATTATTTGCGAGTGCATCGGTTCAATTTGGGAGTCGAGATTCTCAGATAGAAACAGGAAACGGGTGAGACAGCACGCATTTGAAGGCGTTAATAAACGCCTCCTACTCATAAAACGGCGCCGTTTCAATTAAAAAAAAGCAAGACGTTTATAAAACACCGTTAAATATTAAAAACAGTGACGCTTTCAAAAACGTCATTAAAAAAACGCTACCTAAACCCATATTTCATGTAGTGATGATTGGGATCATCAAAATGAGACCTAAAAGTGGGCCAAATGGACCAAATAACACTTCTCCAGTCCTTAGAGAAGCCTAGTCCTTGAATTTTTATGTTGTTTATTTCTTCTGCCAATTTGATTATTATAATTTGAATTGCATCAATTTTATTCTTAAATATTTTTAATTGTCAATTTAATCCATTTGATAATGTCATTTTAAAAATTAGATTGAAATTAAGGGCAAAATAATCGAGAAGAAAATTGTCATTTTGCCTTCCAAATTATCACTCAAAAATCAATTTAACTCATATTCTATATTGTCTTGGAATTACAAAAGTAAAACATTCACCATATCCTTTTAAACAAATTACACCCTGTTCTTTCTAATTTGAAATAGTCTATTCCTCTTGAATGAATCATTTTATCCTTAACATTAATTCAATTTTTTAGTGAATTATTTATTAGACTAAATTAACTTAGTGTGAAAACTCAAATTAGATTGCTATAAAATTTCTTAATTCGGGTGATCAATTAGAGTAAATTGACATAGTGTGAAAAATTAAAAGAAAATTTTGAAACAATTAAAACTGTAATAATCAAATTAACATAAGAAACAAATTATTAGTATTACACGTATAATTTATCCTATAAAAAAAATGACAAATTATGATTCTCGAAAATGATTTTTAGTGCGATAATCTTACAAATGTTGCTTTAAGGGTGGTTACATGATTGAGCCACCGTTTGGCAAGAAAAAGCCCAGGCTTTTTTGGCTAAAATAGCCACAAAAAATAAAATAGGCTATTTTAGCCACAAAAAACAAAACATCAAATCCAACCCATAATCATTACAATCCTCTCTCACAAAAAAAGCCAAAAAAGCCAAAAAGCCAAAAAGCCCTTCCCAAACCAGGCTAAAATAGCCCAGGCTAAAATAGCCAAAAAGCCAAAAAGCCAACCCACTTCCCAAACGGACTCTGAGATGCACAAATAATTTAACCATAAACAAAAACAAAAACAACAAAATTAAAAACAATTAAATCTGCCCATGGGAATTCAATCCCCCAGCTTGGCTGCATTTTGCACTTGTCAAGGTTGGTGGCCTCTCTCTCTGTTATGCGATCTCATTTTATTTTAATAAAATCTTCATCACCTATTGAAAAAAATAAAAATAAATAAATAAATAAATTTAATTATGTCAACAATATATTTCAATGAATAGTTTTAGTAATTTTATTATTGTATAGAAGAATAGTTATGAATCTGTTTTTATTTTTATTTATTTTTTATTTTTTATTTTTTTGTGTCAACTATGTAAAATGACAAATTTTGATAAGGGGATATTTGCAATTTCAAGAATTATATGAAATAATTTGTATCTTAAGAAAATTTTACGGAATGTATTTGTAATTTATCTTAAATATGTTGTTGAAACAAAATCAGCAATACAGAAGTAAAGAAGGCAACCACCACAACAACAAATACATATACACGCATATTGAAGAGATGTCTAAGGAAATCTTCATCTCACAAAGCTGAAATTACAAAGATAAAACATTCACCATGTCTTGTCCTGGATAGAACTTGTTTAATAGCACAACACATCGCACGCACGCGCGCACACACACAAACACAGCCAGAAAACTGGATTACTCTTATGTTGTGTTTGGTTGGAGGATTTGGGGAAGGATTTGGAAAGGGAAAGGAAAAAGGTGTGTGAAACTATGTGAAATTTAGGCATATTTTATTCTCATTTCACCTACGTTTTCCATTTCCCTTTCCAAATTCCTCCTCAAATCTCCCAACCAAACACAACATTAATAATATCACTCCAAAGACTAAAAGAGCAAAGTGGGGGAGAGCTTCTCTTTTTGGGAACCAAGTAAACTGGTCACAATGTTTATTTCTTCATAATCTTAGCAAGCTGGAGACCTGGAAAGCAACATTGCAAAGTAGGAAAAATTTGAACATTATTTTGATTAAAAATAATAATAATAAGATAACACCAAAAAGCCAGTAGATTTGGGAAACCAAGCTTATGGAAATTGGAATGCAACCAAGGGTGGAATTTGAAGTTTAAAAGGTGAGACAAATAAGAGACAATGAAATGAAGCCAACTTTGCGATATATAGATATATATAATCTAATCAAAGTCAAATGACACACCTTTAGAATTAAACAATCTTTCAAATTTGATCCCTTCTGGTGACTGCCACATAATGTTGATGCATGGTATGTGTCCAACCTGTGGGTGTTCCTCGCTCTCTTCTCCACGTATTTGTTCTTGGAGTTCATTTGTAACAAAAAGCAAAGTCAATTTTTGGAGATATTTGAGATACTCGATACCATGAGGCAACATCTTCAACTGCATGCATTCCGAAATCAAAAATTCCTGGAGAGCTGGCATCACCCCCTTTTCTATAATAATCTCATTTAACTGGGGGAAGTTCCGCAAACGCAAATTCCTAAGTTTAGGGAACCCAGTACTAAAGCATAGCTGTTGTCTTCCTTCACATGCATTAATAAGAGTCAATTTTCCCAAACTGGGAAGTTCTTGGATGCAAGGAAGAAGGTCTTCTTCCAGTCTGGACCAATGCAAATACAAATTCGTGAGATTTTGAAGTGAGTCAAACCAACGGGGAACTTTCTCCAATTTTCCAACTAAAATGAGGGTCTTGAGATAGGGAGGAGCGGAGGAGAGTTTATCCATTCGGAGGCATTCATTCTCATCACTCATCATCACACATAAGTAATGAAGGAGATTCATTTTTTGGATTGCAATACACAAATCCACCTCATCTGCTTCTCTCAGCTTTGTAATGTCAATCCTCTTGAGCTGCGTCATGTTCCTTAGTCGCTTCATCAAGTCTGATTCTGCTTCTACGCATGCCAAAACTTGCAAGTTTGTTAGCTTGCAAATATTAGCTGGTGCTGCTGTACCATAAACATATTCAAACTGATTGCCACCTCCATGGTTATAGCGGTACATAATTAGATGCCGCAATTTCTTCAACTTTGTGATTCCAGTTGGGAGAACTTGTATTTTGGAATCCCTAATGTCTAAAGTTTCGAGGTTGCAAAGTCTTCCAATGGATTTTGGAAGTTCCTTCACCTTTGTTCTTTTCAAGTTCAAGTACCTTAAATTGAAAAGATCCACAAGCTCATTTGGTAATTTTTCGATTGGTACATCCTGCAGATCGAGGACTTTTAATAGTCGTAAGCCTCGTGGCAATGATATCTCATCTTCAGAAAATACAAGAAGAGACCGAAGCTGTTGCAACATGCCCTTCCATGATTGCAATTCTCCACCATTTGTTTGAATCGATAAGCGACGTGCTCCGGTTCCACTTTCTTCCTTAGCTTCTTTGCCATCATATACAACACAAAACTTCTCAGTTTCTGATGTGGAAAGGGCAATTTCTCGCACAAGATCGTGCATCTTACATTCTTTCGGCCTACCTGATGGGTTCCTCTTTATGACTTGAAGCATGCTTCGGCAAACTAGATCCATAAGGTAGCTATCTGCTACTTCCTCTACTGTTAACCCCTTTCTCTTTTCTACGAATCCTTCTGCCATCCAAAGTCTAATAAGCCTCTTCCGTCGAATCCGATAATCTTCTGGGAAAAGGCAACAATATAAGAAGCAATGCTTTAGTTGGTATGGCAACTCATTAAAGCTATACAACAAGATAGTTTTCACTGCTTCTAGCTCAGGATTATTGCCCAACTCCCAGCTCAAGCTATTATAAGCTTTTCTCCAATCCAATTCCATATGTTTGGTGGACATGACACCACCCAAAGCTGCAATTGCAAGAGGTAGTCCTTCACATTTTGCAACAAGGTCATGAGCCAAGGATTCAAGCTCTTTAGGACAACATCTACTACGGTTGCTCGAAAAAGCTTTCTTACAAAAGAGATTCCATGCGTCTTTCACACCCAAAGGGTTCATATGATGAACATGACGTTTAACCCCAAAGTTGAAGGAAGCTACGTCTTCCTTTCGGGTTGTAAGGATGACCCGACTTCCTTTTCCTTCATCTGGAAGTGATACACTTATATGCTGCCAGAGGTTTTGACTCCATACATCATCCAAGACAACTAAATACCTTTTTGATTTTAAATAGTTGGAAATCATCTCGAGCAACTCTTTGTGGCTCTTACGACTTAAATCCAATGGAACTGCTTCCTCGGTGGCAGAGTAGAATTCCTTAATCATGCTTCTAAGTAAGTCATCAACTACATATGTTTGAGACACGGTTATCCATGCATAGCAGTGGAAATATTGCTTGACAGTTTGGTTGTTATAGGCCTGGGCAACTAGAGTGGTCTTGCCTGAACCGCCCATTCCGACAACAGAAATAACAGTGCGCTGTAGTTCTTTGTCCATCAACCAGCCCAGTAGTTGTCGCTTTCCATCTTCGATCCCCACTAGATCATCATCTTTAACAAATAAAGTGTCCTCAGCGTTGTTTGGCTTCTGTCCCTGATGATCATGGGAGCCGGAGCCTGAGCCTGAGTTTGCTCCTCCTACACGATCGACCCGATAACGTTGGTTTCTTTCTGGGATGGCTTTGATCGTGTTGTTGATCTCCTGTAACTGTGTGGCTATTCGATGTCTTACCCACAGATTCTTTGGTGCATAGACTATGTGACAGAGGAGCCTTCTGAATTTACCTTGAACTTCTTGTTTGTTCATGTGATACATGAACTCGTCTATGATATTTTCAGCCTTGTAGGTCAAGTCTCTAACATTGTCCACCCAGGTCTTCTCTCCTTCTGTCTGGGCCGTCGTTCTATCGGCATCCTCTAGAAAAGATTTCATGCTTTTTAACTCCTGCTGGAGTTGGTTGAGTTCATCACGAACTCCTCCAATCAACGATGCTTCGCTTTGAAGTGCGGAAACTATCCTCCCAATCAAAAGGTCCACCGCCGCTAAGGCCATTTTTGCAATCTATTACCGCCTTCTCCACTCTTTCATTACTTCTTAACACCCTGCACTTTTAAGTCTGAGTTAGTTCTTCTGTAGTATTAGAGTGATGAACCAATTGTGGAATTCGTCATCGAGGACTCTTCCTTCCCACCAAGGATCCTCTAGAGTATTTTTTTCTTAAAGTTTTCTAAAGTGGTGTATTGTGTGGTTGAAATTTAATGCTGAAAAATTGATGTGATTTATCATTAAATCTCAACCACACAATGCACCACTCTAGAAAACTTTAGGAAAAAAAAACTTTAGAGGATCCTTGCTCCTTCCTTCCTTCGTTTGCCACCCTACTTTATCTTTTTCGGTAAATTACATATACATTTAAAAATAAAATTGATTAAAAAAATAAAACTTCTAACTACTCTCCTATATAATATTAAATTTTTTAAATTATTAATTGAAATATATTTTTAACATTATTAATAATTGTTAATAGATTTGATGATTTATTGATAAAATGAGTTATTTATTATAAAATTACAAACTTCAGAAGTCGGGATGTAATTTCTAGAATTATATGAGCAATTCATATTTTAAGTAAATCTCAATGGTGTATTTATAATTTATCTTAACTTTTTTTTATTAGGATAAAATATGAATATATCTCTTAGGCCTCGTTTGAGAACAGGTTAATTTAGTAATTTTTTGACTATTTGGCTAAAATATGAGTTAAAAAAAACTAATATGTTTGGGATGACTTTTTGGGCTTTTATGAAAAGATGTGCAAAAAGTAGAGAGAAAAGAGAATCTTTGACTTTTTTGTATGAGTTGTTGGCTTTTTGACTAATTTAGTAACTTTTTGACTTTTTAACTAAAAGGGAAGGTTCCCAAACGAGGCCTTACTATTTGCTTAAAATATGTATTGCCTTTTATGATTTTATAAATTACAAATATCAATTTATTCTAATTTTTTATTTAACAGAATTAATAGGAAAAATAAAATTTTTAACTACTCTTCTATACAATAATAAAAATATCTAAATTATTAATTAAAATATATCTCTGATATCATTAAAAACTGTAAATCGACATCATTATTTATTAATAAAATGGGTCATTTGTTATGCAATTAAAAACTTCAGGAGGTGAAATATAATTTTCAAAACCATAGGAAACAATCCGTATTTTAAGTAAATTTCAAAAAATGTGTTTGTAATTTATATTTTTTGTTATTAGTATTTTTCAAAATTTGTATTAAAATTGTTTACTTTTTCAGTCTGTCTAGGATAGAAGGAACAAATATTTAAAAAATCCAAAATAAGTTCACTAAAGACATATACACACCAAAAAAAGGTAAAAAAAAAACTTCTATTTTTAATTATTTTTCTTCTGTCTTTACTGGACATTTTCACGAGTTTTTGTATTTTTTTTTAACTTTCATGATTTGTCAAGTCGAGTGGATTATATAAGTTTAACCCCCTTTGAAAAAAAATTAGGATAAATTACCTCAAAAAAACAATTCAAAGTTTTAACCTTATAACAAAATAAACGTTAAGTTTTACTTTTATCAATTTAAATTTTAAATTATAATCTTTTAATTTATTTTAATATAAACCATTTACTTATTTTCGTTAAGTGAACTAGCGAAAAAATTTGTTTTTGTTATTATACTCAATGTATGTGTACAAAAATTGTCTAAAATACATTTTTTTTATTGAGTTTAGTAACTAAAATATCATATATATTTTTGTCAGTTTTACTTAACTAAAATAGATTAATGATTTAAATTGAAAATAAGTGAACTGGCGAAAAAAATTTATTTTTGTTATTATACTCAATGTATGTGTACAAAAATTGTCTAAAATACATTTTTTTTATTGAGTTTAGTAACTAAAATATCATATATATTTTTGTCAGTTTTACTTAACTAAAATAGATTAATGATTTAAATTGAAAATAAATTAAAAATTTTAAAATTTAAATTAATAAAATTAAAAACTCATGATCTTTTTTGTTACAAGAGTCAAATCTTAAGGGTTTGTTTCTTTATTATAATTTTCCTAAAATTTTTAAAAAATAAGTTTACCAAAGACAAAAAAAGTAAATAAAAAAATCACTAAAAAAATCCCAAACGACAAATTAGTGTTATCAGAATACTATGTAATAGGAAAATAATATACAAGTTCACTTTTTACATCTATTTTCTAAACTCTATGATGTGTAAATAATATGATTGGTTAATGATTAGAGAAAATATAAAAGAGAATACCACCTTAAATATTTATATTGATTGTCACATCATTAAATTTAAAAAATGCGTCCAGTTTTTTAGACTTAAGTAACAATGATGTATCCAATATTCTTTACGTGGAATTCTAAATCATATGTGGTGGAAAAATTTGAGTGGTACCGATTGACTCAGGTACTGTTTGGCGTCTAGTTGGGACTAAAAAAATTATAGAAAACAAAATAAATTAAATAAGTCAATAAGACAAAATATCACATCAAAACTAAAATCATTTCACTTTTTCTCTTATAAAAATCAAAAAAGAAAAAAAACAAAGCCAATCCAAACAAATTTTTTAGTCCCCAATTACAAAAGTCACAACTCAAAAAAACTAACTAAAAAGATTTTTGCCTGAGGACAACTCAATTTTATTAGATAGTTATGAGATAAAGAATGAATCATTGTGTGTGGTGATTTTTTATTGGTAGAGTATTCATTGATACAACAAATAATATTTTGAGACTAATCATTTTTCATTGAAAGAAATGCATAACATTATTTTTTTATCAGAAATGTTAGATACCCACAATTTAAACTCTTGCATTTGCTCACAATGATATGATAAGGGAGTTGAGTTCTACATGGGTGTATACTAATTAAAAGCTCACACCTCTCCTGCCACATCATTGTAGATGAAATTGTGCTAGTTTTTTTTAAGGATGTTAGGCAATTTTCATTTTTGGCAATAATGATAGGAATTCCAAATATTCTGTCCAATGTTTCACATATGTATGTAACCAATATGGTGCGAATGTCAACAGGCAATAAAAAATAAGATCAACATTTACAAAAATAAGCATGTCAACAGGCAATAAAGATACACAATATGCGAGCGCGCACACATATATAGTTGAGAATGAAACATAAACTGACTTTTTAGCAGATTTGCAGATGGCTTTGGTGGCGATGGAGTTGTGGACTTTCTGATCCTCTTCCTCTTCGATGGAGTTGGGAGTTAATCTGACATGTCAAAATCTGGAAGAAATAAAAGAACAAAGTTTAAGATGTAAGATAACAGAATGTATCTTAAAGAATTTCTACATGAATGGTCTACAACTATAAGGGATTAATTTCAACATTTTTAACAATGTGCACTTTTGCATATTTATTGCACTGCTATAGAGTGAATAAAGCACATAAATACGTTACCTTGGGAAGAAATTTTTTGAAATGGATTAGTCAAGCTCGGTAAACTCAATTTAAATTTTGCCAAAATAATTTCAAATGTTAGCATGTATATAGACTTACAGATTAAAAATTCAGTAAAAACTTTAAATTCATATGAATATTTGTCAATGAATAGGACAAAATAAAGATGATAAAAAGCTGGTAAAAAGCTGACTTTTTGGCTTTTTGGCTTTTTTAGTGGCTTTTTTGGCAAAAAGTTGGGTTGTTTTGGGTAAAAAAGTTAGCTTTTTTTGTTTTGGGTAAAAAAGTTAGCTTTTTTTGCTAAAAAAAGCTAAAAAGCCAACTTTTTGGCTTTTTACCATTGTTCCCAAAAGAGCCCATAATAATCTTAGTACTTCCACGAACATAAATAAACTCCTGTGAATGGCCTTAGCCCAAAAAAAAAAAGAAAAGAAAAGAAGGGAAACATAATCATATATCTCAAATCTTAGTACAGAACTACTTGAAAGAAAGAAGACAAGTACAAAAGGAAAAAGCATACGTTGTCCTGCACTCTCTTCCACCTAACTGAGCTTTAGCAAAATAGAGTAACAAGAACACCAACAAACAGCTACCTTGAGGCTTTTTTAAAGTACCAAAAAAAAAGCAGCCAGATGAATAAACTATACTACAACTGTTAGGTTTTTATGATTTGTAACCCCATTTGACAAAACTCTTTTCAATTGTAAGTTTATTCGCTCCTTTATTTCAGTAAGGATGTAAGTGTTTAAATGCGAATCCAAGTCAAATTGTGTGTATAAAGAGGAGTTTGTGATCTTAAGGCTTTCACATTTGCCACTTTGCTGACTATATGTACGGGAATCAGTGCCCCAATGCGGGTTCGGGACAGCGCCCCCCAAGTAAAAAGTAAAAATGCAGTCAAAGTTGTATGACTGCTCGAGCAGTCATTTATGCGCTCGTAGTTTTTTTTTATCACAATTAGAGAAGCTTAAATTGTGATTTTTTCATGTTAAATCGGTGTGATCATTTGTCTTTGATTATTTGATTGGAATTGTTATTTGATATTTAAAATTAAAATATAATCACAAATTAATATCTCAAAAATTTAAAATTTTTCAACAACCATAACCCCATAGGCTCCAAACTCCACCTGCTTCCACCATATAAACAAAGAAACATAATAAGTTATACATCCAACTTTTTTAAATAGCCTAAGAGACTGTAAAAAAAGACCAAGAAACTTCACTATTGAATTCACACTTAAGAACATCTAACTACCAGTTTCGCAATCACACGTGGCTATAATTTTCTGATACATATCATGACATACATGGTGTGCAACTTTGAAGGGTGGCTTCAATCTACTCAAGGTCCACTCCTTTCGATTTGTATAACATAATGATATATACTATTGTTGTATATCAACCCAGGTGGGTCAAAGTTATCTACCTGCCAGTCAAAATTCTCCTTTCTCTTTAACGTTCAGCGTCTATCTATCTCTAAATTTTAACATTCATCGTTTAAGCAGTGATTTTTTTTTTTTTTTTTTTTTTTTAAAGGGTTTTTTTTTTTTTTTTTTTTTTTGAGAAAAATTAGAGAAAACAAAAATCATAGTGTTTGGTCACTTGCTAAGCACCTTGATGTCTGGATTTGCCATTTTTTATGAAGCAAAAATCAAAGAAAGTTGATTACAAACAGTAGATTCAAATATTTCACCCAACTTTTTTTTTTTCTTCTTTCCAAATCCATACCCAAATACATGATCCGAATAATTCAAATTCCTAATTAAATTCATGACCCAAACACACTCTAAAATACAAAAGAAAGAAAATTTATCTTCGTCTCTTGCATAAAGTAAAAATACAACAAAGTTCTGGTAACATCATCACTCACCTGAACCGCAAACAAAGTCAACGGACCTTTCAAACCCAGTTATCTAAGTAGTGATTGAGAGCAATTGAAGAACACCGAGAGCTGATATTGATGATCGTGACTCAGTTTCAACGGCAGCAATCTGAATAGAGCCGAAGTGGAGCTGGGTTAAGCTTCTAACATTTCAATCCTAACTAAAACAACATTGCATGCGACAACGAAGAGAATTACCTGGTACAAAATAGGATGAAATCTCGAACAAGCTTCAACGGAGGACCAAGGGCTTCAGTAGAAGATCAAGGGTTTCAAAGCAGAGGTCACCGATCAAGTATTTGACGCCATCGATCTGGTTGGACCTATTTCTGGTAGGCTTGGAGAGTACGGATACAAATTGCAAACCCATATCCGGTAGGGTTTCGACATCATCGTCGTGGAGCTCTCGTCTCACCGTCATTCAGATCGTCATTTCAGTATCGTAGAGAGAGAGAGAGAGAGTGAAAAAAAAAAATACAAGCTAAAGAGAAGCTGGGATTCAGAAAGTGAAAAAGATCCAAGAGTTCTTGCTAATCCAATGATCTAAGATGCTAATCCAACGGTCACCATTAGCTGAGAAAGCCTGAATTTACCGAACATGCAAAACATTGTGCAAACTTGATACTGTAGCTCCCTTAACTCCCTCTTAATATAGAGAGTAGTATAGATACAGATAAAACAATAATGACAGCCCTCCGTTGGCATGTTAGCTAATTTGGCTTTTTATTTAAATTAGTCAAAATAATAATAATAATAATAAATTGGACAAATTACATATACCTCTCGAGTTTTAGCAAAATTACAGATACCCTCTTGAGATTTGAGAAGTTACAAATATCCCTTGAAAGTACTATTTGCATAACAAATTAGAGGGCAAATTGTTATGAAAATATAAATCTCATGGGGCAATTTGTTATGAAAATATAAATCTCAATGGGGTATCTGTAATTTCCGAAACCTCAGGAATATCTTTAATTTAGTTAAACCTCGAGAGAGATATATGCAATTTACCCTAATAAATTATATTAAATCACAACCATTTACTTTTCTTTTTTTTTCTTACAAAAATAAATTCAAATGAACTTTTTAATTTTAAACTAGAAAGCTAAAAAATTAACCCACCAAACGAAACCTTATTGTATTTAGGCCCTAATTTTTAAATCAACCATTTTTTTATCAAGTCTATCTTTTGTATTTTGTTGACTATGACTCCGTTTGGTAAGCCTTTCAAATTATAGTTCTACTCATTGATTTGAGTATGGTGTTTGTTTTGAACTTTCAAATCATAATTCTACCCCCATTTCTCAAAGGGGGATTTTTTTTAAGGTCCCTGGTATTAAGATTTTATAGCATAAAGGACACTCAATATTTTCATAATGTCTAAGTCCCTTAACATTGATCCAGAGAAAATTCGGCCCAGAGAAAATCTGATCCAGAGAAATTCTGAAAATTTCTCTGAACTTCACTTTTCAGAGAAAATCCCGGCTTTCCAGAGAAATTTCTAACTTAAACCTTCGTACTGGTGTACTGATCGTGAAATTCTGAAAATCTGATCGTAAATAACTAACACATATCGTGAACGGGACCAACACAATTTTTATTCTCATTCGTACTGGTGTACTGAAGTGTAACGGCATCATAAAGCCAAAAACACCAATACATATCATATTTAAAACTATGCCCTCAAACGTGCGATGTGGTGCGAATTTCAAAACATAAGATCTCAAAGCATAATCAAACGGCTCAGAGTATATTGGGGATGAGGAGAGTGATTTTGGGAGTGGGGATTCATGCCATTATCTACCTAACTAATTAAAGGTTGTTTCCACTTCAGTGAATTACTAACAGTTTAGAAAGCATCAAACTTGGAGTGAGGATTATCCAACTCCAATTTTCTTAATTCTGTCTAATAAAAGCAAGTTCTCAACTTTGACATAACACCACGAATTTGTTTTTCTAAGGGAGTTTGAGGTTTAAAAGTCAGTATAGACATTTAAATTTACAGTTTTCTGGAATCTGAACTTTGTCTTTCTAATCACAAAGAAACAGAGTCATCTTTAAGATCCTAACACATTGCTTCATCTGAGATATTTTTCTTTAATGCTTGTTTTATTTTTATTTTTTTGATCAATTAATGCTTGTTTTATTTAGATGACATGTATTGTATCGTATTCTGCAAGTTCTCTCTACCCTTAACTTGTACAGATTCATATTGATTAAAGAGTCAACAGGTAAGGATTATTTCTCTTTATTATGATAGTTGATGTCATCTATCATTGTACAGATTCAAATTAATGCCTTCATCTTTGTCCAGAGAAATTCCAAGAAGTCCAGAGAAATTTCTCTCCAGAAAAATTTTGGACCTTCTAGAGAAATTCCTAAAGCTTTCATCATCTTCTTTGTCTATAGAAATTCTGAGAAGTCCAGAGAAATTTCTCACCAGAGAAATTCCTAAAGCCGTCATCATCTTATTTGTCCAGAGAAATTCTGAGAAATCCAGAGAAATTCTGGACTTCCCAAAGAAATTTCTAAAGCTTTCATCATCTTCTTTGTCCAGAGAAATTCTGAGAAGTCTAGAGAAATTTCTCTCCAGAGAAATTTTAGACTTCTCAAAGAAATTCCTAAAGCCTCCATCATCTTCTTTGTCCAGAGAAAATTCTGAGAAGTCCAGAGAAATTCCTAAAGCCTTCATCATCATCTTCTTTGTTCATCATCTTCTTCCTTCAGAGAAATTCTAGGAATCCAAAGAAATTCCAAAACAAAATCACTTCCCAAAATATGCCTTGGAATAAACAATTCCCATGTTTAATCACTTAATTTCTTTTCTTTAAAAAAAATAAAAATTGATGTTTAATCTATACACACACTGATATTTAATCTCTCTCTCAGTAGCTTTGACAAAAAAAAAGATTAAAATTGATGCTTAATCTCTCTCTCGGCAACTTTGACAAAAAATACACACACTGATATACGCATGACACAGCAGCACACACAGGCATGGAGACCATAGAAACCCATTTCTCTCTAATCTCTCTCTCTCTCTGCATGTTCGATCTATACATACATGTCTCACATGAAGGGGAGTAAGCACCCAGTTCTATCAAGAAACGGACCTATCTCTGAAACTATCTCTCTCTCTCTCAGACTATTATCTTCGGTTCTATCTTGTGATGGGTTGGAGGGGTGTTAAAGTTGGTGGACCAAATGGTAACTCAATCTCTCTCTCTCTCTCTGTTGAATTCAGGGAGAGGAGAACACACGGATAAAAAGGGAAGGAAGTTATGATATGAGGGGTGGGTGTCTAGAGAGAGAAAAGGTCGTGAGGAAGGTGTGGTTCATGGGGGTGGGTTGCATTTTGAAAATGAGAGATCTCACTCTCTCTTTCTCAGGTTAGGGAGGGAGAAGGAGATACACACACCTATTTTGAGAGACCCCATACACAACACAACACACCACATTGATATCAATCATTTCATACGGCGTCCCCGAGCCATGGTAGAAGACCTTCATACGCCGGTTCAACCGGAGCAAGAAGTGGCCGAGGAGTTCTTGACATAGGGATCTTAGATTGATCGAGTTGGATCGATGAGAGAGAGAAGAGCAGCGAGGAGATAGAAGAAGTGAGACGTGAGTCTGAGAGAGAGAGAGAAAAGAGAGAGAGGGGTGAAGGTTTGAAGCCGTGAGGTATACGTGGGGTTGAGGGACCTTAGACATCATAAAATAATATTATGGATCTCTTCCATTACTAAAAATAGGAGAGGGACCTTAGACTAATTTTTCCTTTCTCAAAACTCAATTCAAAACATAATTATTACCTTTCAAAATTCATAACCAAATACATAATTCAAAATTCAATTCAAATCAATATTTTAATTTTTTAAATATTTTAATTTTGTTAAGATTTTAAATATTTTAATATTTAAATATGTTACGATTTTTTTAATTTTTTAATTTTTTGAATATTTTTAAATATTTTAATTTTTAAATATTATGATTTTAATTTTTTAAATTTTAAAATATTTTATAAAAATAAATTCAAACTCTATTTTATAAAAATATTTTTAAATATTTTAATTTTTTTTTGTTATATATTTGGTTACGATTTGAGTGTAGAGTTATTTTTAAATTTAAAATATTAAAATTTAAAATTATTTAAATTTTTTGAATATTTAAATTATTTAAATTTTTACGATTTAAATTTTTTGAATATTTATTTTAATTTGTTACTTATTATATTTTTTAGATTATTTAAATATTTATGATTTAAATTTTTTGAATATTTATTTTGAAAAAAAAGATTATTTCCTTTGTAGTATTTTTAATTAAAAAATTGATTAATGTTATTTTTTGTTAATAAAAAAATTTTTTAATTGAATTTTAAAAAGAGTTTGGTTATGTGTGTTGATCAAAATTTTCAATAGTGTGAAAGTAGTGTGTTTTGTTATGAGTTATAACAATTTGAATTAAGTTTTGAAAACTGTTTCCAAAACTCATAACCAAACAAATTTTATTACTTCACATGTCAAATCAAACTTCCAAAACTCAATTCCACACTCAATTCAAAATTCAATTCAACACTCTATTTAAAAATCATAACTAAACAATTTTTCTACACTCAAATCATATAATTGCAAAACACACAAACTCAAAATATAACTTATATTCTCAAATCATAATTAAAAAGTCTTACCAAACAGAGCCTATCGTTCTCTTTTGAATATTACACATAAAACAATAATGACAGGCTTAAAGAGGGTTTTGCTTATTTTTCAAAATTCAATTTTATTTTTAAATCATAATTTAGATGAAACATGTTAATCAAATATATTTTTAAAATATAATTCAAAATTACTTTTAAAACTCCCCCTCTTCTCTTTTTTTTTTTATTATTATTATTCAATCAATTAATCACTTTTTCTCTTTTATCTCTCATCTTATATTCTATACATCAATCAATCAAAAATAAAATTACATATCATCCAAAAATTATTTTCAAAATCCATAACTAAACAAATTTTCGGGTCTGTTTGTTTGTATTCTCAAATCAATTTTCTACGTGTGTTTTGGCGCATGATGTTTGGTTACGTTTTCAAATCAATTTTCTACACTCTCTGCAGAGAACTCTGTGCACACAGGCGTGTTTTCTGTCCAAAGGAAGACCACCCGGTAGACCACCTGGATGTCCACCCGGTAGACCACCCGGATGTCTACCCGGATGTCCGGCTGAATTCCAGAATTTTTTTTTTGCAATTGATTTACATAATCGGGACAAATATTTTCTGAAAATTTTTAAATTTTTTATGTGCTTTAAAATAATTTTGAGTTGTATGTTTAGTTATGAGTTGTAAATTTTTGTATCACATATCAAATGTCACATCAATAATTCCCTACTCAAATCAAACCTCTTTTCCAAAACTATTTTCAAAACTCTTTACCAAACAAATTTTCTACACTCAAATCATAATTCCACAATACACAAACTCAAAATACAACTCATACTCTCAAATCACATTTACAAAACACAACCAAACGCTACCTTCTTTTTTCAAATCATGATTCAAAAACTTAAAACTCAAAATACAATTCTACACTCAAATTATAATTCTAAAACTAAACCAAACGGATTTGTGTCCTTAATTTCTAAATCAACAACTTTTAATCAGATCAATCTTTTATACTTTATTTA